GATCATCTAAATTTTTTTTTTGTATCATTGACACTTATAAATTTATAGGTGATCATGTATTGTGTTACATTATATTTTTGGAAAATTTAAGGGGTAGTTATATAATAATTTTGGATGATTTCGGGCAGTCAGATACTTATGACCGCTACTGTAGAATGATTCGTTATCTTTCGAGAACAATGGTTTTATCATTCTTGGCGATAATTTAAGAATGATGATTTTATCGTTCAAAAATGATGTTTTATCGTTTGAGAACGATGATTTTATCGTTTAAAAATGATGTTTTATCATTTGAGAATGATGATTTTATCATTCAAAAATAATGATTTATCATTCAAGAATGATGATTTTATCGTTCAAAAATAATAATTTATCGTTCAAGAATGATGATTTTATCGTTCAAATACGATATTTTATCGTTCAATTAGAACAATTCATTATCTTTTGAGAATGATGGTTTTATCGTTCTTGGTGATAATTTAATCGTTCAAGAATGATGATTTTATCATTCAAAAACGATGTTTTATCGTTCAAAAATGATGTTTTATCGTTCAATTAGAACAATTCGTTATCTTTCGAGAACGATGGTTTTATCATTCTTGGTGATAATTTAATCGTTTGAGAACAATGATTTATCGTTCGAGAACGATGATTTTATTGTTCGAGAATGTTAATTTTATCATTTAAAAATAAAGTTTTATAATAATTCGATCAGGTCGGGTCGGGTTAGGTCAGGTCAAATGAAAATTTAAATTAGGTCAGATTTTTGTTTGACCTGACCTAATCCTCTCAGTTCAGGTAACTTGATTGATCTGACCTAAACTGACCTGTTCGGAGCTCTAACTGATAATATTATCTTTATGCAAGATAATGACTCTAAACATACTGCTATACTAACTAAAAAATGGTTTGAAGACAATAATGTAGAGCTTTTACCTTGACTACCACAATCTTCTGACTTGAATCCAATTGAACATTTGTGGAATAATATGGATTGTTATATTAGAGCATTAGATATTGAAATTAGAGGGAAGGATATGTTATGGAAACAAATTTATAAGATATGAAAAGAAATTATATTAGAAACATGCATCAAATTGATAAAATCAATGCCAAAAAGAATAAATAATGTAATCAAAGCAAAAGGTAGTTATACTCGATGGTGAGAATATTTGGTGAAATTTTTAATTGGGATTAATTTAGTTTTTTTTAAAAAAATTTAATAAATTTGTTATATTTGCGAAAGTGCTATATTAAATGCATTATCATTTAATAAATAATCATGTGATAAAATATTTTCCGATTTATCAAGTAATATTAAAATTGCTGTATTATGAAGATCTTATAGTATACTATACATTTAATAAATATTCAAATAATCAGATTTTTTTATTAATCATAAAGCATATGATTAATAATAAGCAATATAGTGATGCGTTTTTTTTGAAAGCCACTATATATGCTCTTTTCTTATCTTGACCACATGGGATATAGAGCCGAATGCTCGATTTAGTGTCCTAACTACATCCTTTACATAGTTGTGAGATTATTACACCTTTTGTATTTTAAATGCATGGGAGACATAATATTGATCTCATGTTAAATTTTTACAAAAACGGGTCTCTTCAACTAATAACTAATTACAAGGCATTTCTTTATTATTCATGCTCACTTTTATATTTAAAATTAAAAAAATCATGTGCACATTACTTTTCGTAATGCTGATCACTTTTGTCAAGAAAAAATATTATTGTTTTTTATTAATACATGTGAAAAATAAATACAAAGGATTGGGACTTTGCCTGTACATAACTCTATTGCTAATATACAAGAAATTATTTCTTAATAAATTTTTTCGTCCTTGCTCTCTTACTATCTGGAGAATCATCAATCTTAATCCTATTCTTCAACAAGCTAACAATTACCTCTATAACCTTTTTAACACCACAGCGAAGTTCTGCATCATCTTTTATTATTTTCTCGTTAAGTACTATGTTATAGTTATCTTTTGAGTAATAGATCCTTTCTGATATATATATGAGAAAGTATCAGTTCAAGGCTAAACAAAGAAAGATACAAGTTAGTATATACGAATGATTAATAAAAAAAATCACATGCTATAGTGTCTTCGGCCAAGCTCTACCTGTGATTACAATTCTATAAAGATAGTCAAACTTATCATCGAATGTCACAGATGCTTTCCTTTTTTTCGTATTTGTATAGTGAGAGCTTTTGAGTTGCATTATGTTCTGCATGAATCCTACTACCAAATCCTTTTGTTTTCCCTCTGTTATGGCTATCAATTCCTCATTGATGACATTTATGACTTTCTTGATTGTGTAATCGACTCAGCTAGATACTTCTTCGCCTATAACTTCAAACTGGAAGTCCATGGTAATTCCTTTCTTAGTGATTCTTTTAGTGATATAGATGGATACATATAATATTAAAGAAATATACTCGCAATGTATAGCCTTATTTCTGCCTGTTGTTAAACCTATAATTCTCATCCTGCATTTTATTTCTGTTATACACTGCTCCAGCTTCTCATTTCATCGTCAATTTTCACAGACTCTGGCTCAAAGGGTGGAATTTTTGTTATTTTATTGCTATCGATCTTATACTTGCATAACATCTCACCTAACTCTTTCTTAGTCCTATATAAGGAGAACGACCTCAACTTTTTATTTTTATACTCTTTAGCGAACTTTACAAGGGTCATAGCAGGTTTTTCTTTCATACCATATTCTTGAAAATCTTACTTTGTCATATCAAGGAAGTTCGAACCTTTAATCTTCTTATTGTGAAGTATTTTCTCATTATTCTCATCAAGTCTCCATCTCTGAAAAAAAAAAAGATAAGCCTTCAGTGTCATATTTTTTAATTTTATCCGCTAACATAAGCATCTCATTTCTAGTTGCAGTAACAGAAGTAAAAGTAGAAGCTGATGCATATCATTTTCAAATATGTAATATCATCATCTTTCTTTATGAACACGTATTGAAACTAATGTTTATAGATGATTGTTCCTATCAGCCGTTTATCAGTATGCTTTGTTAATTTTCTTACTTTAAGTACCAATTAATTTTTGGAGGTAGATGGTTGAGGTGTTGCAAGCCTATTTTTTATCAAATCAGAAACATTTTCTGTTTGAGGACCATATATTGAGCCCTGATCATTAGCATCATTAGATCTCCTATTACGAGATTTTTATACTGCATCCTTTTATTTCTTATGGTTACGAGTTAAATCAAGGTGATTATAATCCAATAGTAATTTTTTAGGAATATTGTACACTAATATTACACATGTAGTTAGATTTAGATAACGTTTTTAACCCTACTCAGTTACCCATCTGAACTCATCATTAAGATAAAATGATGAAGAACAGCCAAAGTTCTGATTTCTAGAAAACATTGTCACATCAATACCATTTATGATTATAAATTCAACATGACTTCGATTAGTGGTATAATAGTAATAGATATGATTATCAAGAGTTGGATATGATTTTCGTGTAAAAATAAATGAAGCTCATTATCTTCACTACTTACTGGCTTTTTATCTACAATAAAAAGATTCAGAATTTTACTATATGAAACCAAGGTATTTGTAGATGCATTTTTAATAAAATTATTAAATTCATCTAAAATAGGATTAGTTTATTATAAAATCTATTCCTTAATCTATTATTAAGGTGTTTGACATTGCAAAGATTTTTCTGATATACTATTAGTGATGATATTAGTCATTTCTGGAGTGATTGCAAAGTGAGATAACAACTAAGTACTTGGTGAGATGTCTTCCTTCTAGATATTGGTCTCCAAATCCTTAACGTAAGAAAGAAGCTAATATTCAAATGTCTGGATTGCTAAAATATCATCCAAAATAGATGAAAGCTATTGAGTGAATTTATTCTGAATAAAACTAAGCTGAACTGTCTTATTCTTAATATTTTCAATGTATTTTCCTTCTTCTATATATTTTAAAGTTTTGTACTAATTGAAAACGGATATGGTGTTACTTTTAGGATTAACTGGGTTATAGATGCCTGCCAAAACCTCCTCAAAATAATTTCATCATATCCTTTAATATAGTTTTGACAGTTTCAGCTTTCATCATATTGAAAGAGCTTCATCGTATCCCTTATTATAATTTTAATATAGTTTCGTCTAAGTTTTGACTGTTATTAAAGGGTTTTATCTCTCATCATTAAACTGGGTAATCATAGTCTCTGAAATCACAGTTATTCTAAATTAACTACTACATCAACGCTTAATTATTTAAATTTGATAGATTACACAAACCTGTTATACTTAAATGGCAGATCTATTAGATGTAACTGACTAAAGAAGCAGTATTCTATAGCTTGATTAAAAACAAAGGCATATTTCTCTAGCAGAAATTTGGAGTACTATTCTTAAGGTTCTAAATTTTACTGAATAGTATCAGGTACTGGCTGATTTTAAAACAATTTCACGATCTCAGCCTGATTTTCTAATCATATTTACTTGGTATCTGAGAATTCAAAATCCTATTCAGAAATATAGATTATAGAAAATTTTTTCTGATTAATTAGTAAACAGATCCATACTAATGAAACATTATAAACAGAAATCCATGTTCAATTTGATGTTCTAGAATACAAATACTTAAAATTGACTTTTCTATTTATTTGCATTATTCTGGATTGGTATGCAACTATGTCACTTCTGTTCTGATTATGCATTATTTGCAGAAATTCCAAGATTGGGCAGAACTAATATATAAGAACAGAACAGTCTTCTTTGTTGAACTATAACAGACTTCCATCCCTTGATTAACCTATCAGATATATAATAACATTGCTGAGCAAATATTAGATAAGAATATCAAAGCCTTCATAATAGCTACAGTATTAAGGCAGAAAAAATTAGCTCAGACACTGCTCTCTTGTAGATCTATTAGGTATAACTAGTTAGAAAAGTGACAAAAGAAACAGAGTATGACATGTCAATCCTTTTTAGAATAAGTTATTATTCATACAATTATAATACAAAATTCGTCGTGATATCATTTCATTGTGAATGATACTATACAAGATATAGCTAAGTTACTTAAGCAATGCTTATCCTGTTCCATCAGTCAAGGAATAATTTTTTATTTTTAACAGATGCTCGTTGTCCCATTTGCTAAACTCAAACCTTGTCATTTTTTAATACCTGCCAATCTGAAATATATATGAATAATAATGAATCCCTTTAATCATACATGTAAGAAATACATAGGTCTATAAAGATTTTCATAAGTTCTAGAGCATTGAATCAAATATATGAAACTCTAGTTATTATACCCTCTTACGTATATAATACATAAGCAGAATTCTTGACAACTTGAAGATCGACATCTTCGATATTAGTATAATAAAAAAGTAAGATAATGAAGCATTACATTGACTTATATCAAAGTCTTAAGCTAGAGAGATCAGCTCAGCATTGATAGAAATGTTTTTTGCCACATCTATTGATTGATTGAGTAATATCATTAATTAGCGTAAAAATATAGCTTTAGCTTAGAAGATCAGTCATAGAGCACAAGACTCTATCAGCTAAGGTTTTTCAAAACACGAGAATGGAAGAAGAATTATGTTAATACAGTCAAACTCCTATATAATCACTGAGTTGGTTTCATTAAATTTAGTGATTGTATAGAGGTATGACTATATAATAAAACCTTTATACAATCACCTCTATACCATAAATCATGTGAAGTGACTATATAGAGGTTAATAGTTTAATTAGATAGTATAACATATTAAAATAAAGCATATAA